TGCCGGGGACGTGACGAGCGCGTTGCATAGTTGTGAGCCCCTGGCTGTGTGCTATCATCGGTGCGCGTCGACGCTGGCCTTCAAGGTCGTGTTTTGGTATGCCGCGCAGGCGGATTCGTTGGCTGTGCCTGTCGAGGGGACGCAGGAGTCGTGGGAGGAGCAGTATAAGGTGAGGTGGGTGGATGCGAGGGCGGCTGCCGGCCAGATGAGCATGGTGGCGGATGGCGAGGTGATTGACAAGATGCTTAGTGATATGAGGGCCTCGGGCTACGACATCTAATCTGCGTAGTAGACCGGAACACCTAAAACCGCCGGCTGGGCTTGTAACTTTTTGACTTTTTTTTTCTTTCCCTCTCTGCCCCTGCTCTCCCCCAGAAAAGAAAATCACTCTGTTCTTCCCGTGTTTGAATTAAGTCTTGTCTCGTGGCTGATACACATGTGAAGCATGTATGTATATTGCATGTAAACCCTTTCCTGCCAACGCCAAGCCTCCGTGTAATGAAAAAAAGAATCCAACATAACCAAGTCCTCATCGCATAGCCAATGCTGTAACCCTCCCCATTTTCCTTTGCCAAAAAGGATGCTCCCTTCTCAGAATCTTTCGCTTGAATACATCGTTTTTTTTTTCAATATTCAACAACTGTCCCAAACTCCTTCCCCCTAAAACCCCCTCTTTCCCACACGTCGCGCGCGCAGTCACACACACTTGCACACAAAGCTCTATCCTTCATCCCTCTACCCTTCAAACTCAACCACACCTGATCCAGGCGGTGCCACTGTCTCAACCCGCGGAATCCCTTTTCTAGAATCCACGGCATCGATGAGGCTCTGGTCTTGGTCTCTCAAAGTACCTGCTCCAGCATCTAACCCGTCTAACAAGTCGCGATCTGAGCTCTTGACGGATCGATTATCTCCACTTGCATCTCCAGGGCCATTTCGAGCGCCAACAGCTATGCCAATATCGTCATCGTCTTCCTCCTCTTCATCGGCCCGTTGGCCTGGCACCGCATTGTTCTCCAATTCTTTTTGGGCCTCTTCCATACGGCGTCGTACTTCAGTTGCAACACGCATACCGTCCGTCACGATATTGTCCAGAACACCGCGCAAGCCTCTTCCTGCACCATGAGGACCAGGATGAATTGGAAGCGGCGGCCTGGAACTGAAGCCAAGGCTGGCGAATGTCGTCAGTGAAGGGGTCTGTGGTGTCGAGCCGTTGCCATGTAGGCCCTCTATGAGGTGGAATGAGCAGGGAAATGAGGATTCAAAAAACTGCTCCAAAAGTTCGTCCGCGAGGACTACCATCCTGAACGTCGGCAAGGTTATGTGCATCGGTGAAGCTGGATTGAGCGCCACATTGGCGGCTACAGACTTTGCCTCGGATGCCCGACGTAGCAGCTCTATCTTGGGACCGTCGGTCTGGGATTGCAAGCCTGTCTTCTGAGTTTCCGTCTGAGAGTCCATCTGCGTGGTTGACAAAAGATCTGTCGCCGCAGGCTTCGAAATGGAAGCTTTAGTAGGAGATGCCAAAGGTGATTCGAAACCCAAAAGATCCTCCTCGTCATTTTCATCCTCCTCTCCGATAGCAAAGGCATTCGTGTTCGCAATTACGTCCGGATCTGCGACTATTGGTGCATCTTTGAAATATTGATTTTGCGGGCGATCCGGATCGGCGTATTCAAAACATCGACGAATAAAGCCGCTAACGCTGCCCAGAAATCTCTCATTCACTGGCACGCTCGCCGGCAAGCTTAGCTGGGAATCCTGAGCATGGCCATTGTCACTTTGCAGAGTCACACTCGATGCATCCGGGCTGAGACTTCCTTCAAGACCACGACGTGACAGAAACAGCAGCGCTTCCGAAATACGCAGAATGCCTTCTCGGTCTACCTTTCCGTCGCCGTCGTCGTCGTAAAGCTCGAAAAAGTACGTAATGGTGCCCATGATATCTCCTTTGCCCTTGATGCCTGCCAGCCCAGTCACAACCTCCTGCAAACTCAGGGCCGCGTTTCCATCCACATCCCATTTCGCGTATAATCGCTGGAGAAATTCATGCTCTGCAGGCTCCGGGCCCGACCCCCATGACGATATACTGCCGCCAGGAGTCCGTCTCAAGTTGTTCGATTTCGAGAACCTGTCCTCTCCAGACCCGGTACGACTTCGTGAGTTCCCAGGCGAGTCGGAGATGGCCCATTTGCACATGCTAGCCAGAAACTCCCGGAACGCGTCGTAATCCATCCGGTTCGTACTGGGGCCGAGTCCGACACGGCCCTTTTCGACGAGGTTGGGCGTTGTAGTGAATATTTCCGACGCTCGCTGCCTGCTAATTTTGGCACGTCTCTTGGCTTCTTCCTGGATCATCAGGTCACGCTGCTGCCTTTCGTACAGAATGCTGTAGAACCTGTCATACAGTGCACCTAGCTCATCATTTCCGAGTATCTTGCTGTCGGGTCCAAGATTCCGGATTGCCGTTCTTTTGGCAAAATTCTCGATGTTGCTCAGGACGGCATCCTTCTTCTTTAACCGCAGTTCTGTAATGCTGCTGTGAGTGATGCCTGAGAACTCCTTAAAAGCAACCACCATGAGTTCTTGAAATCTGGTTACGGCTCGAAGCTTGGGGTTCTCTGACTTGGGATGGGCCGACTCATCTAGTCTCGCAAAGTACGACTTAAGGACGGATATAAAGGCTCCATCATCAGCAGCGTCCAGCAAATCCTCGCCATTGATGCGAAGGATAGCCAGACCAACTTGGAAGAGGACCTTTGGGCCTTCGACAAAAAAGACGTCCAGCACTCGAAACGCGAAAATCAAGGGCATAGAGTTAATGTACAGTGACAGAAACCAAGGCAGTGAGACTACCGACAGCTGTATGTCGCTCTTGACCAAATGCTCCCACAAAATAGGCATTGTTCTTTCAACCAACGATTCAAACACCTTTTGATCCAGCAACGTTCCGTACATGGTGGTCGAGTAGTAGCCCGGTACTAGCCGATCGCACAGAGATGACAGAAGAAAAAAAGCTTGCGCCTCGGACATGTAGATGAGTAGAGCCGCCACGACAATATTCATAGCTTGGCAGTATCCGACGTCGGGGTTTACCCAGCTGTATGCGGTCAAAACCCTGCGAAGTCTGCTGATGCCTTCTTCGCTCTGGAACCCGGGATATTCTGGCAAGCTTCGGTTCAGATCTTTCTCAATCTCGTCGATGGCGAGTGACTCCTGCCCCTCAAACTTGGCCAGCGTATCGGTGAAAAGATTTGGATTTTCCAACCGGAGGTACAGGGAGCCCGAGGTAAGCTCCCAAATCTCTCCTCGCAATCGATTGGGCAGTCCGACCCGGATTAATTTATGGAATGTTGGCTGGCGAATCACAGTCGCGTTCCTTCCGTTATCTCGAAGATATTCGGCCCAAAGCCGCACTTTTGCTCTGTCCCGTAGCTTTTTTGGGTCACCAGGGTACCTGAAAATCATTCCCAAGCCAGCATCTGGCGGATTGGCATTCTTTCTGTCTTCGGACCGAAGCAGATGCTCAGAATAGCATTCTGCGACCACTTTTCGCAGTTTGCCGACATTGCCTACGCCAGCTCTTAGTCCCCTCTTTAAGCCGTCGCAGAAACGTTCGCATTCAGGACGGGAGCTGGCCAAGTGAATCGTGAATCGCTGTTCCCGTCCTTCCTTTGCATCTCTGCTTCCGTCCTTGTCTTTTGTATTTTCGGCCAATAATCCGTTCCAGGTCGTGATGGCGAGTGCAAACTAAAATAGAGTAGAAAGGAAAGTCAGAAACAGCTCTTTTGCATCTTTCTTTTTTTCTTTTTTTTTTTTCTTTTCTGAAGGGGGTCGATTATCCTCTCCAATTGAGATGGGAGAGTACGTCTGATATTGGCATAAATTTACCTGGAAATTTTGGCTGTTCAACCTCTCGACTCTTCTCACGGCACATAATGGAAACGTGAAGCCATTCCCACACGGACCAGCGCCATGGGTCTGTCCTGTAAACGCCAACGATGTCGAGGTGCTAGCGCTTTGAGAAAAGCTGGATGGCGTAGTTGAAAAGCACAGGAAGGCTTCGGATAAGTGCAATTTGCCGACGTAGTGCCATCCTCGATCGTGGTCCTTGTCGCCCTGCGTTGCGTTGGAAGGGGGAATGGTGAGCTCGGCACTGATCTCACATAGAGGATTTTGGGAAGCGGGTAGGCGGAACTGGTTTCGGAATAGCGACGCTTTGGAAGGATTCTTATCGGAGCTCGACAGGTTCAGGCCTTGGGTCGGATCAATCAGCTGATGGGCCTTTTGCACGATATTGGTGAAGTTGGAAAACATGGTCGCAATCACCAACGCCGCATGGCGGTGTCAAAGAGGGCGAGCAATTTGGATGACGAGCAAGGGACAGCTCATGCGCCGAGATTGCGTGAGGAACAGAGTGTGTGACGAGGTGAATGCAGGTGCAGCGTATATTTTGCGTACACAAAGCAGACGACCGATCAAGGGTATTGCTGTCTGCGTACACAAAGCAGACGACTGATCAAGGGTATTGCTGGTTTGTTATCGAGAAGTGAGGTGTATGGCAAGACTGCATGCAGGGGCAGGAATGCATGAGCTGGTGCAATGAGGTGAGGATGGGACATCGAGCGAGGTGACGGCGGAGGTCCGGCGTGGATTGGACCAGACGTCAGTCAGGCAGGACACAGGATTCAGCAGGTCCAGAGCCAACAGCACTTGTTGGGTGCTTGACTGGGCACGGCACTGGGAGCTGATTGGTTCAAATGCAGCGCCAGGCACGGAGAGGTGAGCATATGTCACGTCTCGGTTTGCCAGGATTAACTTGACCTATGCCATTTTCTAGGTCGACGGCTTGCGCTGCCAGAGCCCTCTGATCAAGTGGAAAAGATGAGAGAGAAAAAAAAGACGCGGAGAGCAAGTGGTTCATGCTTGTCGAAATCAATATTTCGGATGGACGACTAGGGAAAAACGAAAGAACAAAAATGAATGCCCTGCTTTGGATCCTCCGATGCGGGGAATCGAACCCCGATCCCTGCGGAAGCTTTAATGGTAGACCATGAAAGCGCAGTATGATAGCCACTACACCACATCGGATGTTGGATGCAAGTTTCAGAGTTTTTTATTACTATAAACTGTTTATTGTCAGCTCTGACCTCAAAACCCGAAAACTACATGACGTCGTTTGGTCGTGTGATGGATTGCTAAAAGTCATTCGCTCTTGGATGACGGATTCCTTCCGACGTGAGCTCGACTCTTTGTGCAGACGGGTGACATCTGTCGCAAGCCAGCCTCACGTGCCGCCCAATACGCCAACTCTGGGCCGGCTGACTCTGTCCTTGCTGTCCTTCGTCCTTCCGTCCTTCCTGTCCTTCCTTGGTTCCTTCCTTGGTTCCTTCCCATCGTCCATGGCCGCCGCTCCCGGGGTCCCGTGCCTGCCTGCCTAGGTGCCGTCCATGACCTGTTGCGTCATCGAACCTGGCGTGTGAGGGCCTGCCACCTGCCGCCTGCCACCTGCGCCTGCCCCGTGCCCCATGCCATGCCACGCCACGCCACGTTGCCACCAGACAGACGAGGCACACGCCACGATGGCTTCCCTGTCAAACGTAGTGGAAGCAGGTACTTTACCGACTGTCTTGGGCGCTCGTTGGGTGACATTTTGTGCCCCTTCAGTCTGGCCTGCAGGGCGCTCCTGTGCCGCGTCGTCTCCAGACGTACGGGGATCGTCGTTTTTCCCCGACAGTTCAGTTTGCAGTGACATACTGTATGTAAGTATGTACATGCTTACATGGTGCATGCATGTTGATCTCATCCCTCCGAGATCTGCCACCGCATTGGGTCTTTGGCACGCCCGACGTCACGCATTGTCGTCCCAATATCCGAGACTCGACTGGACTCGAGGACTCGAGGACTCAAGCACTCAAGCACTCCAGCAGGGAACTCCGTCCAGCCCCGTCCGCCCGCACGCCGCCCGCCCGCCGCCTCCATCCATTTCCGTCTGACGTCGTCTTGTTTGCATCGCCGGCGGGCGGCTCTTAGCCGACGCTCCCAACCCTTCATCTTTCTCTACACAAACAAAACAGTCTTTTTTCACTTGCTCCAGAACAAACCGTTGCGACCAGACTAGCTTGCTTGCTTCTCATCGTCGTCGCCCGTTGTCTTTTTTCTCTCGTCAACCCCCCAACAAGTCACAACCCGTTTACTCGATTTTAGCCAGCCACGCGGGAAACCTTACATCGGCGCATTACTCGGTAGCTCAAGCCCCGCGCAAGCCACGGACCGAGCTTGGAATCTTCTCATCCCTCGTCAGCTCGGGAAAGGCGTCACGATCTAATGGACAACGGGCTTTGGAGTTAGAACCGTTACTGACTGGACTGCCAACTGATTCATGGGCTGCTTTCTCGCCCCGCGTCATCCATACGGTCATACCTAGGTAGGTCGGCAGGTAGACAGGTAGACAGTCCATACCGGGGCATTCCATGGTACCAAGTGCGCGGACTGGAGTCGAATCTAAAGCGCAATCCCCTCCTTGTGTTGCAAACTTCAAAGTCGCTCGAGAAGAAAGAGAAAGCACTAAGCACACATCGCCGCCAGCACCAGCACCAGCGCCAGCACCAGCATCAACATCAACATCACAACCGCTGCGATTGTGATTGCAAACCTGTCTTCCATTTCGCACATGTGTCAAACCATTCCCGTACTTCAGCAGTGGCCATGAGCCGGACCTGAACCGAGTCCGACCAAACGATAATAATAGCACATTTGCGACAAAACAGTTGTCATTCCTGCTCCCTGTGCAGACGCGGCTCATAGGTAGTGTTCACTCGTGCCCTTTGACTTGCACCATACGTTTTTTCTGTCATGTTTTGATCCATCGCCCACCTCCAACGACTAACCTGCCAGGTGGTAATACACGACGGGGTGATTCCATTGGAATTCCCACTCCAATCTTCAACGACATGGCCGCCACGGTAGCTCAGTCACAAGCGCCTACTGCTTTACCTTCATCGAGAGATCTAGCTTCATCGGCAGTATCCGCGTCTCAAGCAACGCACGAACACCGTCACCGTCAACAAGGTCACTATCCATCGAAAGATCTCTCAGCCAACTCAAACAACTGTCGACGGTTCGGGTCGTTACCACGGACGCAAAAACTTAATCCTAGTAATTTCAAAGTAATCCGCACGCTGGGAACAGGTTCGTCGTCTCATTCAGTTGGGTGCAGTTGGGTGTGAGGATGAGAAGACAAGGGGGCAGGGTGGTGGCGGAGAGCGGTTGACTTTTACAAGAAAGGTGCAGGTGCAGATGCAGGCGAAATGATGTCAAACATGGCATTTTCTCCGTGTGAAAAAAAAAAAAAACATTCTGCTAACCCAAATTCTTGCAGGTACATTTGCACGGGTCTGCCTTGTTCGCCCGTCAAATGCTTCCGATGTCCCTCTGGAGCAAGATAGCGCAAGCAATGCCGAGGTGTTTGCTCTCAAGATACTACGAAAGACCGAAGTCATCAAGTTAAAACAAGTTGAGCATGTCCGCAACGAGAGATCTATTCTGGCCGATGTAGCAGGCCATCCATTCATCACCAATCTTCTTGCCTCGTTCTCGGACCACGATTCTCTTTATATGCTTCTCGACTACGTTCCTGGTGGCGAGCTCTTCAGCTATCTCCGAAAGCTCCACCGATTTGACGAATCGACTGCCCGTTTCTACGCTGCCGAGATTGTGCTCGTCTTGGAATATCTCCACGAGCAGCAGGGGGGCGTGGCGTACCGGGACCTCAAGCCGGAAAACCTCTTGCTGGACAAGGAAGGCCACATCAAACTTGTGGACTTTGGTTTCGCAAAGCGGCTCGGCTACAAGGGCGACCATCCCGTCGTGACGTATACCCTCTGCGGCACGCCAGAGTATCTCGCTCCCGAGGTCATTCACAACAAGGGACACACGACGGCAGTGGACTGGTGGGCACTAGGAATCCTGATTTATGAATTCCTAACGGGGTATCCACCGTTTTGGCATCAAAATCCCATGGAGATTTACAGACAGTAAGTACATGCCTCCTTGACATGCTTCCTTGACGAGTAATAATGCGTGCATTTGTGGGCAAGACAAAGTACAAAGTTCATGGGATGTAAGGTAGAGAGACGATAAAACGCCAATACTAACTCTCCAACTCTACGTACTAGAATTGTGGAAAAGCCCGTGACATTCCCGCAAGATCCCCCCTTGTCAGACCAAGCCAAAGACATCATCCGCAGCTTCTGCACCGTGGACCGATCCCGCCGCCTCGGCAACGTCAGTGGCGGCGCCGGCCGCGTCAAAGCCCACCCCTTCTTCCAGTCGGTGAACTGGGACGACATGCTCAGTCGTCGGCGACAAGGCCCCATTGTACCGCCGATACGGTATTCCGGCGACGCGCAGTGCTTCGACATATATCCTGAAGACGATGGCAAGAGGGAAGCTTACACTAACGACATGGCGAAAAAGTACGAGCAGTACTTTGCCGGCTTTTGATGGCGAGCGACCTGCACATGAGACTGACCCCCCATGATGTCTCCATGGTGAAGAAGGTGAGCCAGAAGAGGTGCTACGTATACAAGGGGAGTGACGGAAGCGATAAGTGTATCCCTGTCGGCATGTCCATGAACACTGTATCGGATTTTGATGTAATGCACGTTTTCACGTCGTTTAGAAAGGAGATGCTAAGAATATCGGTGCCATGCATGATTGGATCGACGTCGGACATGGAAATATCATATTGTACCCCAGCGCTGCCACTACCGTTGGCAGTATAGAATGCATTGTTCATATGGTTTATATTTGTAAATATCTACAGGTTCGCAGCGGACAATATCTGGAATCCCTGCATCCTTTTTCACCGTATCTTTATCTTAGAAGATTTAAGAAACAGACGAGGCCCACTTGGAATTCATGTACTCGTCTGCGTCGAATAGCACATAAATAGCATGACATGGGACTCTTTCGTCCGAGTATTTCACTCCCGAGCCCAGAAAATAACTCAAAGTCCAGTCCAAGTCAACCGGACCCAGGCCTCACCCGATCCAATAATCCATTCTCGCGCAGAGGCACATATTATTTCTAAAGCCCATCTATTTTAGTGAATTTTGTAAAGAGAAATACGTACATGAAGTATAGTACCCTAGCTACATATTATAGTAATTCCGGGCAAGGGCGAGCAGTATTGCGTGAGTTATTCGTGCGATCCATCCACGCACCACAGATGAATCCACTGACCTGTTGTACCACCGATGGTTTCGACATCACGACGTTCTAATGTGAGTACCCATTAGGAACTCCCGTTTACTTCTATGTCCTTTTTCTCTTTTTCTCTTTTTATATAATTTTGATGAATTTCTGCATTATCCGACCGTTTTATAGTACATGCAGTGGGTATCCCATATACACATCGTAGAAAACACAAGTCTAAATACACGCCGCGGGTTTTTCTCGCAAACATCAAAGAGCCTCTACTGTGTCATTACATCATTTAAAATACCGTCTTTTCTCGTGATGTCGTGATAAGCAAAATCAAAGAGAGAGCAGGCAGTCCAGTCAATACATAATACGCAGATAAAACACGGAAAAACAGCCTACCCTGTAATGTAAAACCAGCTCATCATCCCCACAGCAAGCAAGGTGGCCAACACCCAGGCGCCCTCCTTGGTGCTCCACAAAAACGCACTCCACCCCGTAACCAGTTCCTTCCGCCTGGCAGCCCTCCTGCGGGACCAGGCCTCCGGGTCGATCTCGACGGGTAACCTGGCGCGCGGATCAGACGACCACGTCTTCTCATTTTTCCGATGAACCAGTCCATCTGCCTCGGATGGCATCTCCGGCGGCGCCATGTCCTCGGGTGGAATGAGCGGCACTTGCGCTCTCAAGTAGACCGCACGATGGTCGCTGCTTCTCATGACCGGGAGGGCGTCGTAGGCGAGGATATTGATGCGGGACGACGACGACGACGATGGCGATGATGATGGTGATGATGACGATGGCTCGCTTGGCGGCTCTTTGGTCTGCGGGACCCAGGGGGGAAGGTCAAGATACAAGACCCTATCTGTCCAGCTGGGGTATCGATG